ATGTTGAGCATGTCATGAGGGATGTGTGTGTGTGTGTGTGTGTGTGTGTGTGTGTGTATGAGAGAGAGAGAGACAGAGAGACAGAGAGAGAAAGAAAGATGATTCATTAAGATTCTACTCATGTTTGCATCAGAATATATCTTAGTTTCATGAGATTCAATTCTCTCTTAATTCAGTTATTAAGGATATTTCAGAAATATCCTTCAAATCATTGTGCTGATTAAGAGAAAGTGTCACATACATAGCACCAGGCAGGAGTCAGGAGGCAGGGATTTTGTTCACACTGTTTGGTGTTCATATTTAATCACACCTATGAAGAGACAAGCACACTCTAAGACAGTACTCAATTCTCACCCCTAGTAATCTGAGCATTTATCTCCTACTTTACAGTTCAGAGAACGATATAGACATTATCTCATTCTCTTGTAAGAACTCTGGGAGGAAGAGGGAGCACATGGCATTCCCACTTCATAGAAAAGGTCATTTGTGAGGTAATCTCCAGCTTACAACTGGATGGTCATCCATTTTGCTTTGCTATGAATAACACTGATCACACTATCCCGATGGAGTTATGAGCAGCTCTCTTACTCAGTAAACATCATGTCTTCCCCTTGAATCTCAAGCTCACTTTTTATTCATATCAGACTTCTAAAGTGCACAATCTGGTCAATAGCATGTGGATTCTGTGACCATATGAAAGAACAGGGACTAGATATGGTGAACAGCCTGGGTTGAAGATTCAGGAGTAGCACATCCAAGCCCTAGCACATACTGCTTGTGTGTCTTGGAGCAATTACTGGCATCTACCAAGTGCCACAGCATCATTTCTCATGCTCTCCAGTTGATCACATGGTCTCATATTTACATCTTCTACCTCAGACAGAAAGAAATCTTGGTCTGTCACCATCGGACATCTCTTGTGCCCTTCATTTTAGGGCTCCAGCTTCTTCTTTTTTTTTTTTTCACAAGCCAGTGGAGACCATGGCCTCTCTTCCCTCTTTGTGGTCTTTTCTGGCTTTGGAGCTACCAAGGTTTGAAAGGCTGGTGATTACGGCATGGAGTTTATCATATTGAGACGCTTCATAAGGCAAAAACTCAGCCTTTCATCTGGAATTCTATTAGAACCAAGATGAAAGCCTTCACATCCAAATTGGAGCTTCTAACCAAAAACAAAGACTCCCACAGTATATTCAGATTAGAAATGGGCAGGGAGCAATGTCTGTGGTTCCCAAATAGATGTTCATTTCACAGTGACACCCACAGCCTCCAACATCCTCAGGTAGATTCCCTAGAAGGCTGGGGACAATGCTCAGAAATACTGGGCTAGAACAGATGTTGCTGTAGACAAATCTTTCATGTTAGGATTAGTTAAGCCCTGAAAATTGGCTTTCTCTTTACCAGTTGGGAACATATACTAAGTTTCTTGATCATTCTAAACTCAGTTTCCTCAATCTATAGGATGAAAATCACCCTGCTTATTCATGTTTACCTGTTGGAACCATGCTGAGGAGAAACTGATGAGATAAAGAGTGTGTAGTGCGTAGCATGAAAGTGCTCACCGGATTTTTGTATAATTTATTATTGAAATCATGAGGGTTTATTTTGAGTCCACATTCTGACTCTGCCATTTTCTGAAGGGTTCATTAAGAAAGGCTTAACCAAATGGTTTTAATTAGTATTCCAGGCTCCTCTGTGCTTCACACTAATGGCTCCTCCTGGGTGGTACTGACTCAAGCTGCAAATGGGACTCCCAGAGAGAAGTTTGGAATTCAGCTGCCATCCGGCCTCCATCACAGTCCTGGGGCTGTGTGCCTCCAACAGATTGCTCAGGATCCCTTCCAGTTCCAAGGCAGGAGACTGGAAGGTGCGTCTCAGGTTAAGGGGGAAGACAGCCTGTATTTCACCCAATTTGTTTAAATGCCCTTTAAGTTGACAAGCCCTCACCCCAGGGAGCTCTCTGTGAGCCTGGCTGGGGCCACATAATAGCTGCAGTGTGGAGCTGAGCAGGCAGGAGGAGGTAAAAATAAACAAGAGGATGTGTGTCTTAGAGGGAGGAATATTTTCTTGACGGATTAGGTAGGAGGCAAGAGGTACACAGAAAAAGCCACAAATTACCAAGGATGGAACCTTGAGCAGTTAACTGCCACCTAGGGTAATGACACCCTGATAAAGGCATGTCAAGTGAAGAACTATGTGAGGCTTCCCTGAAGATACTTCACTGTTAGCTTTCCTCCCTTTGTTACTTTTCCATGAAATGGAGCAGGTTTCCTTGGACCATAACTTATGAGAAGGTGCTTTTCCCTTAGAAGGTACTGTATTAGGCTTGGGTCTATCCTGAGTGATAACAGACTGAAATCACATTAAGAAATCATCTACTTCACTCTCACAGAGAGAGCCTCACTACACCCCAAAACACACACCCATTACTATTGACTCTCTTGAAAATAATACCCAACTATTCTCACATTTTTCTTTATGACCAACTTGTGGGTTAAATTGCTAGTTTTGTTATGCATGTGTTATAGATTATGAATAATGGATTTTCTATACCTCTGCTAGTCATACTTGGTGAGACTTGAACCATTATTTTTAGCAAGAGTTATGAGATGGATAAAGAAGTAAGACTCAGTCAGATCAAGTACAGACACAAGTGATACAGAGAACCTAAAAACAGTTCAGAGGAGTATTGTGATCATGTTTGATTTTAATCCTACTTATCAACTGGCTTTATCATGATGTAATTGTATTTGTGTTGGGAGGAGAGGAACTGTTACTACAACACATACGGTGACAGGTGATGACATAACCTGCTCATGATGTGGAAGTGTCATTCATATTGTGACCAAGGACAGGCCAGGAGCAACTGGCTAAGGCTACAGGAACTCTCAGGATGTTGCACAGAGTGGGAAGTCAGGGAATGTTTTGGATGATTTTATGGTGCCAGCAATTGCAGGCCTGGTTTCTTACAAGTGCAGTCTTGTACACAGAGATATTTGTGGGCTAAGAATGCAGGACTACCAGTTTTCAGTGGTGGTTTTTAAATCCTGTAGTTAAAAAATAGTACTTGATTGTTTCCCAAACAGAATCTCTCTGTGCTCTTTGAGGGATGATGTGTACTTCTTCAAAAAGGAGCCCAGGTTGTTTTTCTGCTGGTCCTGGAGAGAAGGCAGGGAGGGAGAAGGCAAGTATTTGGGGAGAGAGGAAGACCAGACCCAGCCTTCCAGAGTCTCAACCCCGCTGTCCCAAGAGAGGACAGTGACTGGGCTCTAAGCTGGCTGTACTTGTAGTGCTAAGTCAAGGCAGGTTGAGCAGAGCAAAAAGAGCCCAGAGTGGGCCAGGGTAGAGATCATAAAGCTTCAGAAGAGATTTGTGTGCTCAGATGGGCTTACTGTCTAGGAAAGGAATTTTGTGTTAAAATCACCTTTTCTTTTTTTCCAGCAGTAGTGGAGATTCAACGCAGGACCTCTTGTTTACTAGATTGGTGTTCTACCATTTGAATCACATTCCCAGACTTGCTTTTTGCTGCTTATTATGAAGATGATCCCTAGTGATTTTTTTTTCTACCTAGGTTGGTCTTCAACCATGATTTCCAGATCTCAACCTCCTAAGTAGAGATGATTACGGGTCAGGGTCATTGGCCCTAGGTTCTCAGTTTAGAGTTACCACAGTAGTGAACTTAAGGAAATCTGACAATGAAGATGTAGTAATAGAAACACATGCTCAGGTACATCATGACTATGAGCAGCAGCCATGTTTTCTATCACATGTTGAGAAGCTCTTGGACAGAGCAGTCTGATCATAGGCCAGTATCATCATAAGATGCATAGAAATGTCTTGAGTGATTTTTTTTATTGACTTTTCAAGGTTTATGTAATGTTAGATGATAAGAATTGTTCATATAGAACAACTTTCATATAGTCAAACTTCAATAAAAGTTATATATATATATATATATGTAATGTTAGATGATAAGAATTGTTCATATAGAACAACTTTCATATAGTCAAACTTCAATAAAAGTTATATATATATATATATATATATATATATATATATATATATATATTTCCCCCATACTGGGGATGGAACCCAAGGCCTTAGATTTATGTTAAAGTAAGATAGTTTTGTAAGATTTCCCCTGTTTTAGTTTCATAGGCCGTGTCTAATATCCGTTAATAAGGTGTTCTACTCTGATTTACATTTGTAATGGATTGTTAGGGTGAATTCAGATACATTTGTAAATTTCTAGCTGGCTTAATTTTTATGCATCTTTTGTATGATTATAGTAAATATGCCATTAAAATATAACTATACATACATATTCTAAAATGGTACAATATATATCTTAAGTAAACTAGAAAAACTCATAGTCCTAAGTAAAAGAAAGGAAGCATAAAGGACTTTAGACAGAATGGCATTATGAAGCCCGACTAATTATAGCATTATTAGTTCTTGTTAACAATTTAGGAAAAGTTTGCAAAAACAGGTGTTTAAGGCTGCTACTGGCCCAATAGAACATTTTAATCCCCTTTCTTTGATTTTAAAAAATAAGGGATGTGGGTTTGTAAAAAGAAAAAAATTATATATATATATCTATATATGTGTATATATAGAGAAAAAACATTTTTAAAGGATTTGTGTCCTTTGGGGTTTATGTCCTTGGAAATTAATGTTTTAACCAAATTTTAGAGATTAATCATGGTAGGGAAGAACACACAACTATGCAGATTTTAGAAATGTGCAATAAAAGTATTGGTTTACAAAAAGATTTTACCTTAACATCAGTTAACATAGGGATGTATATGTATAACTTCAATTCTTTTAATGTGCATTTGCTATACTATCATGTGTGCATAGGTTTGTGTGAGTCAGGAAAGATGATCTGTGAGTTGTCCTGGAACCACAGAGACATATTTCTTACACTTCAATGACTACTGAGGTCCTCTGGCCCAGGAAATGTTCCAGGAGCCGCCCTTCATGGACTAAACACAGTGGCCCAGGCTCATAGCACTCTGCAACATGCCATTTCTTTCACTCTTTTTGCTTCTACCTACACAAAGATAGAGAACCAATCAGAACACGGCATCAGTGAGGGAATGGAGAGAAAGTTCATAGTAGGCAAGTGGCTTGCTCTGTTTATGCTGGGAATGGCTCAACCAGGAGACCTTCATGAAGCATGGCCAGCCTGCACGTGCTGTAATGGTGGACTCTGGCCTGCTTTTGTGCTTTTCAGACTTACCTCAGGGAAGTACATCATGAGACATGTGAAAAGATTAATCCATAGAGATGCTCACTTGTGGAATTATGTGTAACACTACGAATTGTTGGAACAAACAAAATTTCCATGAGCAGAGGGCTGCTTAATGCAGTCTGCTGGGATGGAAGACTAGGCAGCCATGACAACCGAGGCTGTAAACACTGAGTGACCTCAAAAATGTTCACAAGGCAGTGGTACATGTATTTATTTACTTACTTTCTTGTGTCAGTACTGACCCTGGAACTCAGGGCCTAGTGCTCTTTCCTGGCTTTTTTTTAATGTCAGGTTGTTTGTTGTTGTTTTTGTGGGGGAGGGGCATTTGTTTGTTATTTTCTTTTTTAGTACTGGGTATTGAGCCCCAGAATGCTGCACTTACAAAGCAAGCACTTTGCCACTGAGCTATATCCCAGCCCTTGCTTGTTTTTTATTTTTTTTTCTAAAAGCCGGTGCTTTATCACTTGAGTCACAACTCCACTCTTGGCTTTTTCGTGGTTAATTGGAGAAAAGAGTCTCACAGACTTTCCTTCCCAGGCTGGCTTTGAACCATGATACTCGGTTCTCAGCCTTCTAAGAAACTAGGATTATAGGCATGAGCTACCTGGGATTATAGGTATGAGCTACCAGGGCCCAGTTAGGTAATGGTTCATTTAAAAAGCATCTTACAAAGATGTATTTACTTATAAATACCATAAACACGAAAGGATCCACTAGAATATTTTATTTTTAGTTTTAATTTCTTAAACTTCTGAAATATTTCCCAGTAAACTTCAGTATTTTATAATCAGAAAAATCAACTAAAATTGATTTTTTTTCTCTTTTAAAAACCAGATTTCATGCTTGTAATCCTAGCTACTTGGGAGGATCATGGTTCAAAGCTAGCCAGGGCAGGAAAGTCTGTAAGACTCTTTTCTCCAGTTAACCATCAATAAGCCAGAAGTAGAGCTGTGGCTCAAGTGGTAGAGTGCTAGCCTTGAGCACAAAAGCTCAGGGCCAATTCCTAGGCCCTGAGTTCAAGCCTCAAGACCAGCATCAAAACAAATAAGAAACAAACAAACAACAAAAGCAGAGGATCTAAGTGTCAGTTTTCAAAAAATGATCATAGGAAAAAAAAGTGTTCAACATCACTATTTAAAAGTGAATACAAATCAAAACTACAAGGTGTCAGTTCACTATACTTAGAATTACCCAGAAGACAAAGAGACAAAAAGTAACACATACTGGTAAGGATATACAAAAAGAAGAGCACTTCTAAACCAAGGTGGGAGTGAAAATCTTTACAACTATTATGGAAAACATTATAACAAATTAAAATAGGGCTATTTCTAGTTATATATAGCCCTATTTCTAGTTATAGATCCAAAGGAAATTAAACATGCATTACAGGGGGAAATATGTGTCATTCTCAGTAGACACAATATGCAAATACTGTAACTTTAAGGTCTATGAATAGATAACATGTCTCTATATATTTTATATATAGTCTTGTGTGTTTGTATACACACCCATGTATATACACTATGGAATGGTATTCAGCCTTAAAAATGTAAGAACTTATTTGTGACAACATAAATAAATTGGAGGGCAACAATTATAAGTGAAATAAGTCTTATGAGAAAAATGCTTCAAGGCATTAGTTTTTCTCTTTCTTTTTTTTTTTGAGGTTTCAATTCAAGTTTATGAGTATGATGCATTTTGATCAATGTCATAATTCCTTCACACCCATGTCTCCCAATCCCATTTTTACGCGAAATCTTTGTTGTTGCTGTTGTTTTGGGTACTATTTGGATTTGAACTGAAGACTTCATGCTTGCTGGGCAGGCGTTCTAACACTTGAACCACTTTTTACTTTGGTTATTTTTGAGGTAGGTTCTCACTTTTTGCCTGGGTCAGTCATGATACTCCTGTTTACACTTCCCACCACACCTGGGAATACAGATACATGCTACCAAGCTCATATTTTATTGACTGAGATGGGGGCCGAGCTGTTTTTTTTTCTTTGCCTGGATTGGCCTTGAATAGCGATCTTCCTTATCTCAGTCTCCTGAGAATCTAGGATTACTGGTTTGAACCAATTACACAATTTATGTGGAGTTACAAACAGAGAAACACCACTGAAGATAGTTGGATGATGGTTGCCAGTGACTGGGGGAAGGAGAAATTGGAAGATACAGGTACAGGGTATGGTTATACAACATGAGTAAGTTCTGGAGGTAGTCAATGTAACAGTAGTTATTAGAGTCTTGAAATTTGCTAAGCGCAGCAGATGACACCCAAAAAGAAAATGAAAATTCTGTAAGACAATGGATATGTTAAATTAGTGTGACAGCAGCAATTATTTCACAAGATGTATATAACAAAACATAAGTGAAACTTCAACAGGTACAAGCTTTTCAATTATCTTTGAATAAACATGGAAAAATTAAAAACTGTATTGCTTTGTTTATACCTACTTACTGTAGGCAGAACACTCATAGTAGGGCCCAACTGTAAGAAGCAGCAAAACTTGTTGGTCGTGGGGGCTTGAACTCTGGGCCTGGGCGCTGTGCCTCAGCTCTTCAGCTCAAGGTGAGCGCTCTACCACTTGAGCCACAGAACCATTTCCAGCTTTTCTGCTTATGTGGTGCTTAAGGAATTGAACCCAGGGCCTCATGCATGCAAGGCAAGCACTCTACCACTGAGCCACCTTCCCAGCCCAAGCAGCAAAACTTTTAAGGAAATACTTGCACTTTTTACTTTCTTAGTAACAATCTTTTGTCTACAAGATGAGCTTTTGCTTCAAGTTACTGATACTCTGTGCTGAAAAAGGGAAATTCTTTCCAAAGCAGCTTCTTAGTGCCCATGCATGTGGAGAGCAGAATCCTTGTGTGTCCTCAATTACTCCCAGGGGGCTCTGGGATGCAAAGATGGGCTCACAGAGACCTCCCTAGGCCACACATTGTCCATAGGCCCCTTCTGTGGTCTTTAGGAGGTTGCAGTTGGTGGATAATACAATAGAGTACAATACAATAGAATCCCTCACTAAGGGTACAGATGAGTGGGGGAGGGTAAGAAGACTGAGACATCTCAGTATACTCAGGTGGGGACAAGGGGATGAAGACAGGGTTTAGGGTGGACAGACTCTGTGAGTCATGGCTGAGAGTGGCTTTGTCACCTGATACAAAGCAGGGTTCAGGGGTCTAGAATAACTCCAGAGATTAACAGAAAGCTGTGACCATGTGTTATCCATCAAGCCTTAGAAACAGAGAGAATATTTCCCCTTCTCTGATCACCAAGAACTTATATTTATGTTATGGCATTATACTATGGTGTTTCAATCCAATCTGCTCTCATTTTTAAATAATTTTATTGCCTTTAGGTAGTTATACAAAGGGGCTTCAATTCCACATGTCAGTTTATGAGTACAGTACATCTTGATCGATATCACCCCTTCCACCATTCTCCTCCACCTCTCCTGACTCTACCCATTCCCTCATTTTTCCCTGTTACATTTTTACATGTGGACATTGAATACTATGACTGCATTCATCCATGCTTCCTTGCTTCAATTATGAACCCTATTCCCCTTGACCTTACTCAGTCCCTGACCCTCAAGTACCAACGTTTTGGTATTTATTTTATTCAACTATAGGTTAGCTGTTCAAAGGCATTATAACACTGGAATTCTCCCCTGCATATACCATACTTCCACCAATACATTTGTGTGCATGTGCAGGTTACTCTGCAGTGTGCACTATTTATTGTAGAGGATAACTGCTATGGCTGATATAAAGATGTATGTAGATAAAGTCCTTGACCTCTGCTGGTAAGGCAAAAGCCTCCACAATAGTGGAAATCAAATTGAAATAGGCTCTATTAGTATCTTCCATCTCTATTTCCTTCAATGCCTTAGAAAAAGGTGTTTCAATGAAAAATGCCAGTGTTGTTCTGTTCATATCATCTTAAAAACTGCTGCTATGAAGGGCATGGTTTCAATGATTTTTAATATACGCTCCATTATTTTCTGGCATGAAAACTGATTGGTGACTTTGTAATCTGTCCATTATTTTAGTGGATCCAGAGATTTGATGACAGGTTTGTGCTTCAACAGGTGGTCCCCATGGTAGTAAGGCATCCCAGACAAGCTAACTTTATTTTGCTAAACCAACATTTACCAAAATGCCTCTTGTCTCCTGTGTTACTTGTACCCTGCATCAGAGTTAAGAGATACATGTAAATGAACCCCATCTTCACCTCAAAATATACAACTCAGCATAATCCTACTAAGCTAAGGAGAAAATAAAATTCAGTGTATGTGTCTCCTCTTGCACTCACCTAAAACAACTTCTTTAGGAAGTCACATCTTGAAATTCGTTTGAGTCTTTGAATACTTGGGCTTCAAATTCCATTTGGCTCTATAAAAGTAGAAGTATTCAATTTACTACAAACTTCCAAACAAAATGAACAGCATAAGATGCTTCATGCATTTCTGTAATGTTAATACAGTCATGATATCTGCAAAAGGACAGACATCAATAACTTTTTACTTTGATCTTCATTTTTTTTCCATGATGGAACCTTATGTTCTTGCTTAGCTTTTTCTCTCAAGGCTGGTGTTTTACCATTTGAGACACATCTCTACTTCTGGCCTTTGTTTTTTTTTTTTGGGGTCCGGTCATGGAGCCTGAACTCTGGGCCTGGGCGCTGTCCCTCAGCTCTTCAGCTCAAGGCTAGCGCTCTACCACTTGAGCCACAGTGCCACTTCCAGCTTTTTTTCTTTATGCTTATGTGGTGCTGGGGAATTGAACCCAGGGCCTCATGCATGCAAGGCAAGTGCTCTACTACTGAGCCACCTTCCCAGCTCCACTTCTGGCTTTTTTGGTTCTTAATTGTAGATAGGAATCTCATGGACTTTTCTGTGTGGCCTAGCTTGCAATCTCCATAATCAGATCTGTCTCTTGGGTAGTTAGGATTTACACACATGAGCCACTAGCACCTGGAAACTCTTCATGTGTTTTTCACTCATAGATTTGGTCAGTGGGGAGAACATTCCAAGCACAATGCTTGCTTTGGGGGCCAAAAAGATGAGCCAATGCTATGACCCACTCTCCACGAGCCCCTAACCTGGCACAAAGCTCAGCAAGAAGCTATGAGCATAAATCAGGATGAAGGTCAGAGTAGGGATCAACACCAGTGCACTCCGAGTGTCCAATTGAAGCATTGGGGCATGACCAAAGGATAGGAAAGAAGTTTCCTGAAACAGAAGAGGACTGACTCAGAGACACACGTGAGTGAGGGATGTGGTTCAGTAAAACAAGGACTCGAGAGAATTTGCAGGATGATTTATTAACAGAGTAGATGACCTGAGCAAAGGCAGACTTGGGGTGGATGAGAAGGAATAGATAGGTAGTAGTGCAGGTCTTAAATCTATATACTTTTTCAAGAAGTTTGGCTGAGAAGGAAGATCATTAGGAATAAAAATAGAAGTGGGATAAGGCAAGTTCCCTCCCTCCTTTTCTTTCTTTCTTCCTTCTTCCTCCTTCCTTCCCTCCCCTCCTCTTCCTTCTTCTTTCCTTTTCCCATGTTTGTTTGTTTACTTATTGTGCCAGTTTTGCAGCTCAAATTTAGGGCCTCATGCTCTCATTTGAATTTTTCCTCAAGGCTGGAGCTCTACCACTTAAGCCATCGTACCACTTTGGGTTTTAGGCTGGTTAATTGGTGATAAGATTCTCACAGACTTTCCTGCCTGGAGTAGACAACTTTGAACCTCTATCTTCTTATCTTACCCTCTTCAGAAACTAGGATTACAGGCATAAGCCACTTATGTCCAGCTTTTCTCCTTCCTCCCTCCCTCCCTCCCTCCCTCCCTCCCTCCCT